CATCTTTTAATTGAAAAACTTACAAATGTCAGTCTTTGCCTTGCACTGTGCGTCCTTAAAATATTTTTCACCCGCTTATGGATATCTTCTCCATTTACTGGTGTGCTCCAAACAGAATGAAACCTTGAATGAAAAACATTTTATGGCTGATGTCACTTAGTGTGAGTGCTATACATTACTGGTATTGCTTTGTATTATATCATCATTATTTTCTCTTCTATAGATACATATAATGAATACATTTAAAAAATATAAAGCACACACTTAATTCTAGTAGTATATAGTATAAATCTGAACAATCTTTTTGCAATTATGTCAGCACAGTCCATGCAGACAGATCTTTTGTCTCCTCAGGTATTTGTGCCAACACTTTTCAGCAATGAAAAAAATGCTATGAATACAGATTTCATCAAGTTGGTATGGACTAAATCTTCTGCATACTATTTGAGGACTTTGATGTAACTGTAGGACAACTTTACTATTCTCTGCAGCATAGTGCAGTTTTATGGCATATGGAACTTCAGCAAAATTGTTAAAAGTTTTTTGGAGGATCTGCATGCAGAAAAAGAAAGTTGACAAACCTCTTACTGGAGTAAGGAAATAACATTAGTAAATAGGGCATATAACAGAATCATTTCTGAACTTTCAAAAAGAATCGGTACACATCACTCTGGTTATTAGATGTTATTAGGGGAAAGGATATGTAGTACCAAGTCTATATACAATTCATTTTGATGGAACTTTCAAGCAAGCACAGTTTTCTAAACATATGATGTATTTCTATTTGTCACCAATCAATTTTCCAGTGTTGTTCCACATCACAATGTTAGCCTGTGTTTGGGATAAAAGTGGGATCAGGATTCTGCTGTATTGAAAAAAAGTTTTAAATTCTTTTCTATAAACTATACACAGTGAAATGACCTAACAATCCACTAGTGTGCACTGTGGCATAAGAAATGTTTACTGGCAACATAGCTTTCTACTTGATTTTCTAAATACAAATATTTAAGTATTAATAAAAACAGTATCAGCTTCTTTTTAATTGTCTTATTTGAGACATAACTATAAAACCTAATCCACACTTTAAGTCATTATGTTAATATTTACACCATCCAAAGTCACCATACAACGAAGCTAAACCTGAAATGTAACACATATAATCTAAATTGAAACCTTTTTATGATGTGCTTACACCTGGAGGAGATATTCTCTGAAGCTCATTTTAAAAAAGTAATTTCTTAAACTATAAATAAAAGGAATGTCTCTAGTATAAAGGCTGAAATAATGCCTGTGTAAACCACAAAGTCCATACATATGGGATTAAGGTGTCAGTAGTTTCTTGCAATACTGTTGGAATGGTTTTATTATTTTACTGACTTTACTCTGACAAAACAAAATAAACCTCTACAGCTGCATTCTTTGTCATACTTTCATTTTCTTTGGGACTAGCAAACATTCTGCAGTTACACCAGTTTAAATTGTTTATTGATTCCAATAGATTGTATAAATACTTTGGATATATAGCTCAGTGACCTAGAATAAGCCAGATCAATAAAGAACTACTCATAATTCATTTGAAAGATGCTATGCTGGAGCAATCAACAATACAAATTATTTTCTCTTATAATGTAGCTAAAAGCATTTTAAAAAAACAACCACCATGAAAATTTGGGTATATATTCTAGAAACTATTTTTTTGCCTATTTGTTCAAGTAAAACAGACAATCCTTTACAAGTCTACATAGAAAAAAAATCACACTGGATTCAATGGAACTTGCTTCCATAAAATATGAATATGACTGAAGTCTTCCCCCCCACATAAACTATTTAAACAGAAGGTTACAGTTCTCAAGCACATTTAAAAAATACATGTGTTCACTGAATCATGCACTTCCATACAACTAAATTTTCAAGTACTAAAGGGCAAAATATACTAATGTGTTTAGAATTATCCAAGTTATTATAAGCATATTCTGCAAAACATTTGTAGTCTCATGTGGATTTTTGTCCTTATCACGGAGAATCACAGTAAGTGCAATCTCACCTCTGTGGCTTTCCTGAAGAATTTATTAGTTTCAAAAGGGATTTGTGCTAAGAGGAGAAGGGAAAAGATACACAAGGACAAACTATCATAGGACAAAAATCAATGAAGTGCTGTAGGAGCAGATGTACAGCTGGAGAGTGGAACTTAGCAAAACAAAATTGCTCCATGTGAAAGTATGATAGAAAAATAATGTTTGAGCTTATGACTGAAAGCATACTAATTAAGAAAATGAGATTTATTGTACACACTAAGACTACAATCCTACACATACTTATCCAAACATATGGCACACTCAATTCAGTGGGACTTATGTCTGAGTAAACATGTGCAGGGTTGAGGGCAATGATTAGGAAATATCCAGGTGCCAAGCTGTGGATCGTTCTAATATAGACAATTCTGTAGTTAATGGCATATTCTGCAAAATGTGTAACAATCCATCAGCTATTGGCATCCAACTGGTGATCTGATAAAACAATTGATGAATCCCACCCTCATCTCGCCTCCCTGAAAATAAATAACAACAACAACAACAACAACAACAACAACAATAATCTTTATTTCTAACCTGCCCTATCTCCCCAAGGGGACTCAGGGCTGCTTCCAGTAAAAAACACAATGGCAAACATTCAATGCCAAAAACCAACAACATAAAGCAAATCAAAAAATAAACTCAATTGAATTAATATAACAACATAAATAACCGTAGCATAATACAACCCATGACCTGATTGACATGCTATCATTTCAAAGAAGGGACATAGGTCAAAATTAAAACTTTTCAATGTTTGCTTAGAAGTAAGAGGCCAATTTCCATGTTTCACTATATTGTATGCCCTGGCAATAGCATTTTACAAACTGGAGATTGCCTCAGGAGATTCACATCTGAGGTAAACTGTTTATCTCAAGGCCTGAAATGCAAGTACTCTCTTCAAGAGCAGCAATCCCACTTAACAAACCCATTCAGGAACAAAAAAGAAACCAAATCACCCATTTAACTCTTTCATGCATTCAAGTTAATTTTAAGAGACAATTTATTGCTCACTTTCTTTCCTAAAATACTAGGACTTAAATATCAAACCACATTTTATCTGAAACCAGCTAAACCCAAACACGCTTTGCTGTGGCCTAGTCTGATATGAAATTTATGAGATCTATATATATAAATCTGTTAGGTTGGTTCAACGGGACAGCAAAACTCTAAAAACCCCCAACGAAACTTAACCAAAATTCCCATGCCCATAACACAACCCACAAGGTACAAACATATCTACTCAAAATGAAAAACAACACAACAACACACTCACAAAATGGCAAAACAACTGAGCATGCGCATTGGCGCCCAGCCGCAAGTTCCCTGGTGCGCGCACACAGCCTTCTGGCCAACGTTCCCTCTGCAAAAGCCATGCCCACTCCAAGCCCCTCTGCGCTGCTTCCTGCACACACACAGCCCCTGCCGCACGCACACACACAACCCCACGCTCCATCACTCCCCCCGCCGCCGCACACACACACATGCAACCCCACGCTCCATCACTCCCCCTGCCGCTGCACACACACACGCAACCCCACGCTCCATCACTCCCCCCGCCGCACACACACGCAACCCCACTCCCCCTGCCGCCGCACACACACACGCAAGCCCACGCTCCATCATTCCCCGCCGCCGCACACACACGCAACCCCACGCTCCATCACTCCCCGCCGCCACACACACACGCAACCCCACGCTCCATCACTCCCCCGCCGCACACACACACACAACCCCACGCTCCATCACCTCCCCCCGCCGCCACACACACACACAACCACGCTCCATCACTCCCCCCGTCGCCGCACACACACACGCAACCCCACGCTCCATAACTCCCCCCGCCGCACACACACAAACACAACCCCACGCTCCATCACCCCCCGCCCGCACACACACACGCAACCCCACGCTCCATCACCCCCGCCGCCGCACACACACACGCAACCCCAATCCCCCTGCCGCCGCACACACCCCAACCACGCTCCATCACCCCCCGCCGCCGCACACCATGCAACCCCACGCTCCATCCTCCCCCGCCGCCGCACACACACACAACCCCACGCTCCATCACTCCCCTGCCCCAATCTTACCTCCTTTTACTTCACGCCACCTCCAAACCCCACCCCGCCCCTTCCCGCCCTGTCAAAATCCAGGAAAGACAGGAAGGAAGGAAAGAAGGAAGAAAGAGAAAGGGAGGTAAAGAAAAAGGGGGAAGGAAGGAAAGTTAGAGAAAGAAGGAAGAAGAAAAGGAAAGAAAAGGAAAGATGGAAGGAAAGAAAAGAGAGACAGCAGAAGAGAAAGAAAAAGGGGGAAGGAAGGAAAGAGGTAGAGAAGGAAAAAATGAGAGACAGAGGGAGGGAAAGAAAAAGGGGGAAGGAAGGAAGGAGAGAAGGAAAGAAAAAAGGGAATGAAGGAAGGAAAGAGGGAGTGAAGGAAGGGGGAAGATGTAGAGAAAGAGGGAGGGAAGGAAAGAAGGAAAGAGAGAAAGAAGAAAAGAGACCAGAAGAGAAAGAAAAAGGGGGAAGGAAGGAGAGAAGGAAAAAAGGGAAAGAAGGAAGGAAAGAGGGAGTGAAGGAAGGGGGAAGATGTAGAGAAAGAGGGAGGGAAGGAAAGAAGGAAAGAGAGAAGGAAGACAAGAGACCAGAAGAGAAAGAAAAAGGGGGAAGGAGAGAAGGAAAGAAAAAAGGGAATGAAGGAAGGAAAAAGGGAGTGAAGGAAGGGGGAAGATGTAGAGAAAGAGGGAGGGAAGGAAGGAAAGAGGCAGAGAAGGAAGAAAGAGAAAGGAGAAGAAAAAGAAAAGGGGGGAAGGAAGGAAAGAGGTAGAGAAGGAAGGAAGGAGAGAAGGAAAGGGAGGGAAAGAAGGAAGGAGGGAAAGAAGGAGAGAAAGAGGGAAGGTTGGCCACAGCAACGCGTGGCGGGTAAAGGTTGTTATTTCTATTATTATGATGCTATTATTCCTATGAGACCCTTTTAGGGGGAATGGGAGAGGTGTCAGGTCCCAGAGGCAATGCATTGCATTATTGTTATTGTTATGATGGTGGTGAAATAAAAGGAAATAAAAAGTGAAAGAAGGAAGCAAACAGGGAGGGAAGAAAGGCAAAGGAAGAAAGGGGGAGGGAATGAAGGAAAGAGAGAAGGATGAAACCAAGTAGTGAAAGAAGGAAAGAAAGAGGTAGAGAAGGAAGAAAGGGGGAGGAAAAGGGGGAAGGAATAGGTAGGTACCTCTCTTTCATAATAGTCCAGATATCTACCTCAACTTTGATAAGTTTTACTATAGGCCACAGCAACGCGTGGCAGGGCACAGCTAGTAATAAATAAAAGTATTGTTACAAACATAGATTCACCGAGAAAACACATCATTCAATTCAATATTCTGCCTTGCATTGCTGTGTCTATGTGGAATGATAGGAAAGGAAAGAAAAAGAGGGTTTTTAAAAACAGAAATCATGTTTATTATAAAACTAGTGGATTGACTACATTTTTGGTTTGTCCGTTTTCTGCATAAACATAAAGATCTGTCAGTTTAGGACTCTGGAGAATGCCACGTACAAGTGCCCATGAGGGAAGCAATAGTTTTCTAAATTCAAACCACACACTTGTCAAGATTATCCCTGCGCTTTATTGATAGTCATAGCGAATGCAAGGGGGAAATTGCAGTTGTTAGTACTCGAATGCCATGTCGGTCGGAATGAGTGGTATGCCAATAGCAACCAATCATAGCTCAGCTTTCATTTCTTATACTGCTGAGGTGAAATGTCTGCTCCTCTGTGATTGGTTGGTATTTCTTATACTGCCAAGGTAAAAGGAAAGCTGTGCTATGTAATGATAGGTAAGGAAAAATAAAGAGGTTTTTTTACTGAAATCAATTTTTATTGTAAACCTAGTGGACTGACTCCATTTTTAGTTTGTCTGTTTTCTGCAAAAACATAAAGATCTGACGGTTTACCGACTCTGGAGAATGCAACGTGTAAGTGCCCATGAGAGAAGCTATAGTTTTCTAAATTCAAACCACACACTTGAAAAGATTACCCTTGCACTTTATTGATAGTCATAGCAAATACAAAGCGTATTGGAAACTGAAGTTGTTAGTACTCAAACGCCATGTCCATTGGAATGAGTGGTATGTCAAAAGCAAGCAAACATAGCTCAGCTTTCATTTCTTATACTGCTGAGATAAAATGATAGCAGCTCTGTGATAGGCTGTTATTTCTTTTACTGCTGAGGTAAAGGGAAAGCTGTGCAGTGATTGGATGCTTTGGGCATTACAGATTCCACTTTCTGTATTCCCGGACTGCTAGTTTTACTCTAAATACACACGTGTCTTGAAATGCAATATTATGTCACATTTTCAGTGCTCAGTTTTCATTTCTTATATTGCTGAGGTAAAATAAAAGCTAGGCTGTGAGTGGTTGCTTTGGTCATCACAAATTTCACTTTGTCTATTCCTGGACTGCTAGTTTTACTCTAAATACACACATGCATTTGAATGCAACGTTGTTTTAATTTTATTCTACTATATAAATATGTTGTGTCGAAATGTCAAGTCGATTGACTGACTACTTTTTGAGTTTTGCAAGAATAAAAACAGCAGTCAACTGCTTCCCTGCCAACAAGAGAATGGAGTCCTGTTGCTTGCAGTGTCTGCTGTCTGGTAAGTGGGCATTGGGGGAGTTTCACAGTTCCTACGTATTTCCTTAACCAGCAAATATTCTGAGATTTTGAATATGAACCATTTATGAATGCATACTTTACGTTAGTATTCATAACTGGCTTAGTGAATTCTGGCAAAACTTCCTAGTGATTGCAATGTACAACGTTTTCTCCTACATGTAGATCACATGTGCCACTCAACCACTCTCCATAAGAATCCAGACTGTGGGGAAAAAGAACCTTGGCTGAGATTCAGTTACAAATGCATAACTGAGTAACATCTCTCATCCCAACCCTAGACCTACCTTAGCAGCCAGTAGCACACCAGGTAATTGCAGCCTATCCTGTTAGGATTAGGGCATAGCAAACTGACATTTCCAACACTGTCCATCAGCAAGTGAGGCTGTGACAATCGGAACCAGGACTCCTGTCACTATTCCTTGTACCAGAGATCACTGGCAGGAGGGAGGTGGAAACATCATGCCGCTGTACTTCAATTGCCAGCAGAACAGACTTTTATGGCTTGGTCCAGCTGTTGCTTCTTAAGGTGAGGACAGGGGGAGGGGGGTGACAATTATGGCAATAGTGCCAATATTGTAAAATATATAGTATTAGCGAACACAGAGCATCTATGGATCTGTAAGTATAGGTTACGAATCCATAACCTCAAAACAGAATACTGAGTAAGCTCTGCTATTAGTTCCACTGACAGCGACTGCCTTCAGAATGTGTAGGGTTCAGTGACCCCCCCCCCTTGAGTGACCCTGAAATATTATGTTGTTGATGGTAGAAAGAAGAAGCCATTTTGATCAGTGTTGAAGGAATAAAGGAGGATATTGCTTTCTCAATAATTCTGATGACATCTGCCCAGGAGTTGAAGAGAACCAAACATACACATGGAACATAGGGAAAACCACAGTTGTCTAACCCCAGAAAGAATTTTTATACTGACAGATACACAAAGAGTGAGCACAGGAGTTAACCATTTAGCTATACACAGATAATACTTTTGTCTTTTTTAGATCTCTTCAAACAAGTATTCAGCTGCTCACCCTGAAAAACTTGCTTCTGTCATATGAAGAAACTTCAGGTTTAGAAAGTGTCTCCTTTCTGGGAGGTTGTGAGAACAAATCACCCTTTGGATAACTAAAAACATAAATGGAGTCTGCTAGACCCAAAGTGATTTCAAGTAAGATCATTTCAAACTGTTTTGACAAATATTTCACAGTATTCTGAATATGAAAGGAAGTAGGTTAGAGCATCTGACATACAAAGAAAGATGTGATGAGCATTACAATAGCCGACATTCGCAAAAACACTTTGGAAATCTATTGTTCTGACCTACAGTAGACAAGATCAAGTCCTGATGAACCATATCAGACAAGTAGCAGAGGTCAAGAGTAACTGCTTGTGATGAGTTGCACCTTTCATATTCAATAGGCCAGCTAAGACAGTTTTTGATACCTGTCAACTGCAGAACAGACAAGGTCACATCATGCTGGGCAAATCAATCCCCCAGATATTCAGACTCCTATTATAACAGGAAAATGTAAGCATCTCTCTCCATCACTATGTGGCCTCTCTTTAAAAAAAAAAAATCACAATGTTCAAGCTCTATATGAATGACTGAAATCTTTAACCCAGGGAGTCCATTTTATATCTTTCGTGGGAGATGACTGTACAAGATAGATATATCTTGGTGATTTTTAAAATATCAGATAAACCGCCTGTTTTTATTTTATTTTAGACTTGATACAGTTTTGTCCAAAGCCACATATTAGACTTGGTACAGTTTTGTCCAAGGCTACATATATACTCAGATACTAAGTAACCATGCATCATTGTTCGCTGGTAGAGCGAAAATTACACTTCCACAACAAATATAGGAACAAAGAGATCTGTTCCTATCTGAAATGTGCTTACTGCAGATGATGCACTATGCTTCAACAAAATGAACAAGATATTTTCTTTAAATAGGGAATATCAACTGTTAACAATAAATATTGTAAGCTTTATTTTCCATAAATATTTACAAGAGGAAAATAGATAAGATGATCCCCATCCGCCTAAAATTGGAAATTGACAGGACTGTGGTGAGACCAGTCACTCTATATGCCACTGAGTACTGGCTGACCACTAAGGCTATCTAGCAAACTCTGCACTCTATGGGAATGTGGATGCTCAGGTGGTCAATAAGTGTTACCCTGAAGGACAGTGCACTCCTTCTCTGGAATTGTTCCAATTGCCAAGAAGATGAAGGAATCCCATTTGAGATGGTTTGGACATGTATAATGTAGTGATGAGGGTTCAGTGGCTAAGCCTGCGCTGAATATGGAAGTTGCAGGTGCCAGGCCACGCAGCAGACCTAAAACGCATTAGCTCGACTGTTTGAAGAAAGACTCACAATGAGAAATGCGACCAACAGGAACAAGTGGAAAACAAGAAGCAAACAAGTGGACCTTGCGAATTTGTAGGACAAATGCTAGGAAGGAGATTAACAAGAGGAAGAAAATGAAAAGAATATTTATTTTTACAATCTCACCTGGCATGAACATGGTCTATACACTGATTCAAACAGTCCTACAAGAAAGTTGGGAAAGATAGGGATCACCAAATTGGGAGCATGTAGTCCACCAAATTTGATTAGGGTGCAACACTTTACCACTGTCAATAACAAGAGTTGTAGCCCAATAGTTTGTAGAAAGCTAAATAATCCCCACCTTGTGAATACTCCAGAGAAAATAAAAAGCCGAGATAGAGGCAAGGGGGCTAGAGAAGTGTGCAAAAGAGTGAAATTAATGAAAACACTAAAAAGGATTGATTCAAGGGTTTCATAATAATTCAACATAATAGAGACTGAGCTCCCCCCCCCCATCCAAAATGAATAGGACTAGAAGTGCTATTCATTTTGGATGGGGGGGACGGGACACGACTCAATCTTTACTATTCATATAGGATTCTTTCAGATTTTAGAGTACATGTATTTGCACAAACGTAAAGAATAAGAGATATATGAGAAAGGGGATTAAGTCACAGGTCCAGCAAACTGAGTTTTCCGTCAAGGAGCTCTAGTCCTGCTACTGTCAGAAATTTGACAGAGGAAAGAGGAAGAAGCTGGGAAGGACTTTAATTCCTGCAGGTCCACTCACTCAAGCTGCCCGGCCATCAGCATAATTTTTGCCTTTTTAGCAAAGTTGCCCTCATAGCCAGAAAGGGAACAAAAAGCCACACCACTAACTAATACCTCACTGAGTTGCCAAAATGGCCATGTGCAAATGAATATTCTTTGCTGACCAATCTATGCTTGTTAATCAATCTGAACATGGACATGCAGACACACTTCCACTTGAAGCTTCTTACCATTGAAATATACTGTAAAAATATACATGCTGATATTATATTACAGGCAGTCCCCAAGTTACGAACAAGATAGGCTCTGTAGATTTGTTCTTAAGATTTCACCTCACTTTCTGTCCTTGTGATAACTGGATTTTTTTAAAAAAATTGGAATGTTGTGGAAACAAGAATTGGTGATAAAGCTTCAGCTGAGACCCCTTTCCCCCATGATAACTCTTTCAGGAGTGAATTTCCCTTCCTAGAGATAAATTTCTCTTTATTGTCTCACCCTGCTCATAACTATGAGTCATTTCTAAGTCTTATGTTTGTAACTCAGGGACTGTCTATATATCAAAACATATGTTATATCACATCTGCACATTTATCCTTTAGAAAGTAGTTGCTGAGGGCTTTCAATAACAAAGGAGATTGAAAAATTTCAATATGCTTCACAAGATGAACAGAGGAAGCATTGCAATTTAGGGCCGTTTCCACGCAGCCATATATTCCAGAATATCAAGGAATAGAATCCCACAATATCTGCTATGAACTGGATTACCTAAATCCACACTGCTGTATATTCCAGTTCAAAGCAGGAAATCTGGGATTTTATTCAGCTGTGCGGAAGGGCCCCCAATTCCAGATGAGATTAAAACATTTTCAGATGTATCCTGGGCAGAATATTTGTAGTGCTGAGTCTATGAAAAAATGGCGCAAGTCAGAGCATACTAAACAAAGTCTGGGAACTCTGCAGTAAGTGTTTTTTGTTTTTACTTGAAAAGTCCTAAGCAAGTGTGTATGCGTAGACTGGACTGTAGAATCAATTTTAGGTTTCAGAACTATTTTGTATATGTTCACCATTCTTCAGCACAGAACCACATAGTCTCACCATTTCCAGCTCCTGGGGTTTCCTGACATGGCAATTCTAGAAGAAATAGTATTACTCTTGCACTTTGGTATTCCTGGTCAAACTGAAAAGAAATTTCACTTTAAATGGCAAATATTTAATATGTTGAAAGTGTTTGGAAGCTTTAACCCTTGCCACTAAAGTGATACATACAAGCGGAGTAAAAGCCATCTATGAAATTAAGGTGGCAATGCTATCCAGCTAGATTTTACAAGATTGCTGAATATAGCCAGATGTTTCACATTCTAACTCCAAATATTTACTCAAGCATGTGTTTCTAATCGTAGAATACTATCTGTTAAGTGCCAATGGTAGCTCTTGTCTAAAATTGTTCAATCATTAGAGACTAAGCATTAAATAAAGTGCCTAAAATTTGAAATACAGTAAGCACTTCTGAGAACACAACACACAAGTCCAGATTTCATGGAATATCCAACACTACCTTTCTCTAAGAGATGAGCGATTCAAAACAGGAGTTGAAGAATATTTCTGCAATGATGGGGGTGCTGAATGCGTTAGCAACCGAGCTGGATGAAGCTGTCTGGCCACTATGCTTGACATCAAGTGCTCATCATAGTTGTCAGAAAAACCATGAAAGTCTTTCTCTTGAAGTGACCCCATAATCTATCAGGAATACAAAATGGTATTGTGACCACTAAGGAAGATATATAGTATACTTATTGTATTGGCTATGCCTCAGCATGAACTGTAGTACATGAAAGAAAATATCTTTCAACATTACAGCAGCAGAAATAGACTAAAATTTATGTTGCACAATGCTTTCAAAAATGTTCTGCTCATTATGTCATTACCTGCATTTGAAAAATTCTTTATTATCTTTAAGATTATTATATTTAATTTCTTGGAAGTTAACGGAAAATGCTTGTCTATAAATGAATACAGTTAACATAAAATTTGACCAATAAATGATTCCATGTTATGAAAGTGAAATGAACCGTCTTTAATTTAGTTTTCTTTTTCAGACTTATACTATGCAAAATTAGCTCAGTAAGTACAATCCTGTTTATTGATATCTTTAAATGAATAATCTGCTGTTGTGGATATTGAAGATGTGCAATTTCAACAAGTGTTAAATTAAAAAAAAGATGAGGTGCACAGTAGGCTTGGGCGGTTTCGTTCGTTAATTTCGTAATTCGTTATTAATTCGTATTTAAATTAGTTTATGATCCAATATTGAGCCATGCGGGACTACTGTGAGGATTAATTAAAAATCGAAACAATTTTTCCAATTTATTTCGTATTGTTTCGTAATTGTTTCGTAATTATTTCCGTATGTCTGGTGCAAGTTTTATAGTTGTTGTTTGTTTTATCAGTGATAAAAAATAAATTATCACACCAACAGTCAACAACAGAGGGAGAGGGAAGCTTCAGAAGTCCCCCCTGTCCCATTTGGAGGGCTTTTTAGCATATTGCGCAATCGCGTCCGCCATTAACGAATCGATTCGTAATTTTACAAAATTTCGTATATTTTGAACTTTTTTAAAGGAAAATTTCGGAATTCTTTAAAAAAACAAAACGCAAGGGCCCCCCTAAAAAAGAAACGAGTTTAGAACCAAATTTTTCCGTGGTTACCCAAGCCTAGTGCACAGATATCATATTTAAAGGATCGGATAAATCTCAGGAGATTTTTATAAAATGGATCTATCCTAAACTGCACACAATACATTCAAATAACAAAGAACTGCTACTAAAGAAAAGAATTTTCAATACTAGCTACATTTAGTATCCAATATATGATCCTCCCAGTATCCTGTCATGCACAGAGCCATAGCGTCTTTAGATTCACAATGTCCTGTGTTGTAGCCCCCAATACATACTTCAAGCCCTGCCAAGTTTATGCCAGCAAGACAGGGGAAGGAATAGTAATCTCTTCCTTTCACCCAATCCTCCCTACAAACAACTAGATGGACATTATCTTGCCCATGGTTGGAAGGGAGGGGGGAGGTGAGATGGTTGATGTGTCAAGCTAGTTCTGTTGAGTGGGTCTTTTTTCTCATTTAGATATCAATAAATACAGGTATTTGATAGAAAATAATGCAGTTAGTACATCTTTATGTATTTTAATAGAGTGGAATATACTGGAAACACACCGGCTGCAGTAACCAGTAAGCAGTAATGGTTCTCCTAAGACCCATTAAACAGGATGAGTGATAAATAGCTCTTGTCTGGCATATGTCACCTCCCATGATAAATACATCTAATGACATCTATGTTAACCACGAAGACCTGAGCATGTAGTCTTACATGGTTCTTGATAGTACTCAGCTAGAAGTACTAACAGTCTGATGGGTATGGAAGCATTTCCTTCAGCTCTTATGAAAGTATGAGGGTTGAATGAAAAGCAATGCCTCCACCTTTGTAACTCCTCAACAGATGGCAGGACTGGTATGCAGCAGGTACTGGCTTGTTCAGTAAACTCTCCTCTACAGTTCCATTTTGGAGGGAAGCCTTAGCATTGAACGGTTGTGTTGTTAAAGTGCGCAGATGGTCGGACAATGCGACTTAAGCAACGTGCAGTCATTGAACTCTTGACAGCAGGTGTCACCCCGAAAGAGATTCATCAGAGAATGCAAGCTATTTATGGTGATTGTGTTGATGTGAGAACTGTGCGTCATTGGGCGAGTAAGTTTAAAGATGCTGAGAAGGGAACATCTGACTTGCATGACAAACAAAGAGTTGGACGTCCTGTGACAGCAACCACAGAGTTTCACAAGCAAAAGGTTGACAGATTGATTCAGGGCAATAGTCATATCATTCAGAGAGAAATTTCAAGCATAATTGGCATTTCACAAGAACGTGTGTGTCACATTATTGCTTTGCTTGGCTATCAGAAGATCTGTGCACGATGCATTGCGGAAACAGAGTGCCGACTTCTTCCGTGATGGCTTCAGAAAACCTGTTCATCTTTGGCAGAAATGCATCCAATTGTCCGGTGATTATGTGGAAAAGTGAATAGTGGTAGTTAAAGAGCAAATTCTAAGGATTATTTCTGCGTTTGATTTATTTAAATATTCCCATCCAAACCCAAGTAACAAAGATGGAAGCTTTACTTTTCATTCAACCCTCGTATCATATTCTAACATTGCAAAATATGAAATAGTCAAGAGGCAATGAAAATATATGTCACAAGATACTTTCATTCAGCTTCACATATCTACTCTTTCACTCTTTTACGGTACTTACTTTAACATTCTTTGGTCTGTAACTGCCAAGAAGTGTAGGATCTTTAAAAAAGTAGAGAAAAAAATATTTGCAAGCACTAGACATACTTCCTATAAAGCTCATAACAACTTTTCAAGCAATTCCCAAGGCAGTTCACAAAACAAGTACCGTTATTACTGCTGCATTTTTAGTAGTGATTGCTGTAAAGAGTGGCTTATTCAACTATCATGTTAACAATATAAATCTGTACAGATACATATGATTTACAGTGTGTGATGTAATTATTGGAAACTAATAATAAGTACTTGGATAAGGGAACTTTTTAATGTAAAATATATTTTGGATAAAATGGGATTTATTCAACAAAACATCAGGATTCAAGGAAATAACTTTGTCAAATAAAATGTATTTTACTTCATTTTGTTTTGCTTTTTCACCTTCCATTTAATTTTCAGCTTATCATGGAGTCTCCTATAAAAACATAATAACCTGAAAAATGACTTCCTCTTTATTTCCATATAAATTCCCACAGAAACTGTGCTATGACAAAGAAAGAAAACCGGCCCGGGGGGGGGGGGGTCATAGGAATCTATCAAAACCTTCCTTTTTTCTCTAACAGTGGAGGATAAGGATTTCTTGTTTTTCTTTCATTTGGAGGAGGTGCTTCTGATGCATGGCCATGCAGCCCGGAAAACTCACAGCAACCCAGTGATTCCGGCCATGAAAGCCTTTGACAACATATTTACATTATGATTTACAAGAGTAGCAAAAATACAGTTATGGATTGTGTGATTTTAATAATTGGTGTAATTGTTTTTAGATGTTTTTAATTGTTTGATTTTTAATGTAAATATTTATCAACTGTGTGTCATTTTAAGGCATTGAATTGCTGCTGATGTGTGAAGCTGCTCTGAGTCCCCCTCGGGGTTGAGTAGGGCGGGGTGCAAATGTGGTTAATACTACTACTACTACTACTACTAATAATAATAATAATAATAATAATAATAATACTTTACACTTTGCCATAGACAGTTCAAATGTACCTCCCACCCCCAGGGAAAGCTTTTCCAATCATCTGCCTTCTGACTTATTTGTCTTCAGATAAATATTTTCTATATCCACTGACTAGCTTTTCTCACTCCATCTTGGAGATATGAGGTATTTTCCACTCTTGCTACCCTCCCCCTGTTTTTCTGATCCTCTTGAGGAGTCCTATTCCATTCTATTAGTTTCGGCTTTTGTACATGTGAACTTGAATTACTATTGCCATGTATTTTGATTCCTATACTTCCACACCAAAAATTACTCTCCCAAAAGCAGTTTGCAGGCAACAACCATGGAACTGAGCTTGGCTTTTTTTCCAGTGCAGAAACAGGAAGAATTATACAGGAGGAATTCAAATCTTAGGGACTTCCTATATTAGTGTGTGAAATGGTATGGAACTGCAACATGGGCCACTTCCACATAACTAAAACTTTGTGAGATGGGAGGAAAGCAAGCAAAACAGTATCCATGTCCTACAATATAGTTTTTAAAAAAGGATTCAAGGGTCCCCAGGAGAGCTAAAATGAGGATGATACTGAATATAAAGTTCATGTCACACTGTAAACAGAATGTGGAAAAAGTTATCTTATGTGGAAAGGTTCTTCTCTCAAGCAGAACAGTTTACTGAAAGGAATTCTGTTTCATCCCAGGGATGATCTACTAGAAGAACTTTCCTCTTATCTGTTGCTCCACCCTGAGAATACTGATGGATTTTTTTTTAAAAAGTGAGACCTTGGTCTTGAACATAACTGGAAAACATTACAAAGAAATTATAAAATATAAAAATGTGAATGACATGAAATAATATTTCTAATATAGCTAATAATAATAATATAGCACCTTAACCATAAATGAATGCATAAGATCTATACTGCAGGAGAATACCACATAGAAAAAGAATTGCTTTCAGTACAGCTTTCCTCAAACAGGTTCTAACTCTAATCCGTGGATTACTGGAAGCAACAGAGCAGATAATCCAAGGGGTATAAATGGGAAATAAAAGATCATGAGCTCAGTGGATGCACAGCCAGTGGTAAAGGCTGATTTTATAGGAAAACTGTGTGCATGTGTTCATGCCTAGGGTTTGATGTGAGACACAGAATTTCTGTACTATAAGGAACAAGACAAAAACAGGTTTTGGGATCCCCATCCAAGAAGGAGGCATCAATCAGAAGAAAGGGCATCCCAAAAACAGTAATATTCATAAATATGTGTTATAATTTATGACAGAGGTTATCAAACTTTTTCAGCCGTTTAGCCCTTTTTGAAGCAAAAGTTTCTTGTGGAGCCCCAATAAATGTTTATATTTTATTATATATTATATTAATTATAATATTATATATATCAGGCATGAGCAAGCTTTTTGACCAACATAAACTTAACAGAATTTCAGTGGAAGACTCCAGGGGCTAGCCAGTCCAACCCCCTTCTGCCATGTAGGAAAAGCACAATCAAAGAACCCTAAACAGGTGGCCACCCAGCCTTTGTAATAACATGGAGAAAAAGCACAATCAAAGCACCCCCTGAGTGGTGGGAAGGAAACAGGGGTTTTTTAAGCAAGCAAAGAGAGGGAGAAAGGATCTTGGGGGGGGGGGCAAGGAAGCTGAGGGAAAAAGGCTTTTGGAAGCGAAGGAGGGGAAGGAAAAGGGCTTTTGAGAACAAGGGAGGGGAGGAAAAAAGGCTTTGGGGGGCAAGGGATGAGAGTAAAAGAGAGTTTTGGGGCAAGGGAGGGGAGTGAAAAGGGCTTTTGGCAGCGAGGGAGGTGAAGGAGCAGGAAAGAGGAAGAAACCTTTGGAGGAAGAGGAGAAGGGGGGGGTGGAGTCCCAAAGGTTCCACAGAGCTCACTTTGTGAACCACTGATAAAGGATATAAGAAACAAGATATTATATTTCTAAAGCAAATTTGATGAAGAGGCATGATTCAGGCCAACAGATTTAATAGACTAGATGAGGAAGATAAAGTTTAGGTCATTGGAATTGCTACACAGTGTTAGAGCAGACCAACTGAATCAATTGCATTTACCTATGTGTTGACTCACCATTCAGCAGTTGATTCAGTGGGTCTACTTTAGTTGGTACTAACAAGGAGATTTAAGCTGTGACACAAATCTAAACTTACACATATTTTTGAAAAATACTTTTAAAAAACTTGCCACAGGTAGTTTCATCTTTTATATGCTCCCTGGAACGACACCAAGTATGAACATCAGGTGAGGGACTCGGTTGTTCCACCTGGAAATTAAATAATACCTTACATGGTATTGAAGCTCAGGAATTTATTGTTATATGCATAAATCATATGTTGTGCACAGTAACATCATATAGACATAATGATAAAATTATGGCTTAATCAAACAATTTCTAAAATGGGTGGTCTTCATACATTTCAGACTACAACTCCCATCACTCCTGATCACTGCCTATGTAAATAAAGTTGATGGAGTTCATAGTCCAAAACGTCCAAGGACACTACATCAAAATTATTGCACCTAAATCTTAAAAGTTCTGGTTAATTTTAGCTTCATTAACAAGCCAACTTCATTAAAAAGGTTAATGTTTGCTTGTTTCTGTAACGATTATTGACAATTATTTTCTTAGTTTAAAATGAAAGTGAAAGCTTCAGATTTTCTTCTCATCTTAATGCAAGAGAAAAGCAAATAAGGCCAGGACAAAGTATTTTTTTTAAAGTATTATCATTACATTCCAATTACACTTTAACCTGTACGTTCAAAGAAATCAACAGCATTACAATTTATATACAATATTTCCTCGACTGTGAGACATTATTGATTGTAAGCCAAGCCTGATTTTTGAGGTCCAATTTGGGGGGGGGGGGGTTATTTTCGATTCTAGGACATACCTCTTTTATTTGAGTCTCAATTTTTGTAAAAAAAAAAAATAGTCCTCACCCAAAATCATTTGTCTTGCTGCCCAGCTGTCCTGCGCAATGGTGCCACTGCCTCTACAGGCCCTCACTTTTTGCATTGCTGCTGACTTGGTGCATCTAATGAATACAGCTTCTTCTGCTGGCATTGGCTGCTTCCATCACCTCTATGTTGCTAGGTTCATTTTGAAGGGAGAGGACTGGGGATAGTAGTGGCTGATAAAGTGAGAGCTCTTTTTTCAGGCAACTGTAGCAAGAGGGCAAGGGGACAGGAAAAAGAAGCCCTGTGTGCCAGGAGCCTGAGACAGCAGCTCTCAGTTTCTCCTGGCTCTCAGGGCTTCTTTCTTGCTGCTGGCACGTTCAGTGAGAAAAATCCTCTCTCAGCAGCAGCATCCCAGAGTGCAGAAGTCTGCACATACATTGCCTGTGACGAGTCAGCAGTGGCATGAAAGCAGGTTGTGAAGATGGTGGTAGCATCGGTCATGGGGTCTAGAAGGCTTTACATAGACTGGCCAGAACAACTTGCTTCCCTCTTATTCTCTTAGCCACCGCTCTTGATTTTTCTTTTTTTGAAATCTGTTATTCTAGGACTCAGACAGGGCCCAAAATGCACAAGCTTGCATGTTTTTATTGGAGGCATCCAAACAACGCTTCCAGTAAAAGCAAATTAATTCGAGATAAAGCAGGAAGGCCCTGCTTTATTCCGTATTAATTTGACACATCGAAAGACTTGGCTCTTTCATAAGATCTGGGTCTTTCCAGGTGTGAGCCCTGTGTGGATTAGGCCTGAGGATTACACTGCATGGACTTTGAGGGGAGGTGTGGGGACTGTAACCCACATCCAACTGGATTTAGTAAACCCGACTGGGCAGTAGTTAAAGACCTGTCTAAAATTGGTCTTTGGCAACCCTTTTTTTAAAACCTGATTTGTTTTTTTTGGGGGGGGGGGGGTCTTAGGGCCCTTCTAGACAGATCCTATATTCCAGGAACTGATCCCAGGTTTTCTGTTTATTCTAGTTTATCTGGCAGTGGGACTCATATAATCCTGTTTAATCCTGAAAACCTGGGATCAAATCCTGGGATATTGAGTCTGTCTGGAAGAGCCCTTAGAATTGGTGAAATATGATAGTATACAATATATGCAAGTTTGGAAATCCACTGGGCACATTTTCAAATGCGGTGCCTGAAAGACAGGACCTTTCCCTTTGCCAACTTTCACACCATGCTGCTTGTCACTAAACCATTACACATTTTCCCAAGAAACATTGTTTAGAGCAGGGGTCCCCAAACTAAGGCCTGTCGGCCGGATGCATCTCTCCAATGTCATCCCCCCCCCCTTAGTCTTTGAGTCACACTAAGTCTGAAACGACTTGAAGGCACATAACAGCAATCCTAATTAGCTTGACTATCTCATCAGCCTAAAGCAGACCCACATTTCCCATTGAAATACTGGTAAGTTTATGTTGGTTAAAATTGTTCTTCATTTTAAATAATGGATTGTTCTTTCTTTCTTTCTTTCTTTCTTTTTGCACTAGAAATAAGATACATGGTGTGCATAGGAATTCGTTCATGTTTGTTTCAAACTATAATCCAGCTCCCCAACAGTCTGAGGGACCATGAACTGGTCCTCTGCTTAAAAAGTTTGAATTTATTTATTTATTTACTGTATTTTTACCCCGCTCTTATCTTAACAATCTTTGGCAGATAAGTGATCAAGTCAATTTTCAAGCAGTTGAAGACCCCTGATTTAGAGTGTTAAATTATTTCAGAAAAATAGCTTGATACTTAATGAAGTCAAACTTTGTTTAAACCCTACCAAAACCCTACTCAGATTCTTCCAAATAGTATTGGGACAAGCATTGTGTTCGTCATGTTTGAGAGAGAAGACAAATAAATAAGCACAAAAAATGATGTCTTTTTCCGTTGCCAGAGCCAAGCAGAAAAACTTGCATTCCACTTAAGTTTTGATTTAGGTCATATGTGGGAGAGATCACAAAAAGGAAGAGCTAAATAAAAAGCTTTTCAAAGCAGCTGTGGAAAAATACAACTTGATCTATATTTCAACTGGAACTGCTTTAAAAAATACATACATGTCGAATTACAAACGGGGGTCTATCTGATTCTTTTTTAAAATCAAAAGGCCCTAGGTCTAAGTGGGCCAGCCGTTGACTGACTTGCAGAAGCTCACACATTCGCCTCTTTGTGTAAGGAGATGGAGAACGAGAAAGAGAGGCTATTGTTGGTTGTTCATAGCTCTTTGTTGCTGAGACGTTCCTGATTTTCTCAGGTGAAGTAGTGTTCTTCTTTGGCGACCTTGTTTGCAACGTTCCATCTGTTGATGCATGATGCTGGCAATCTGAGTTATCCTGAATCAAAGAGAGGAACTTGTGAAAGACTGAAGTGCCTGGGAGTACATGCTCTCGCTATGGTCAAAACATCCATGTTCCTGCTATTAACAAACTTACAGTCTCCAAATCAGACTCCAACAATTTGAGATCAAACACTTCTGTTCTGGGGGCTTAAAATTTCAAACTACCCTTGCAGTCTGCTCAACTCTCTGGTTCACTGAAGCGTTTCTCCTGCGTGGAAAAATGAAGCACTCTGTTCCTTTTCTACCTCAAGCAGCTCAATATTACAGGTGTTTTTTCTTTCACTGCTACTACTATTACTGGCTACAAATGGCCAGGAGTGGGGGTGAATAGTTGCCATAGTAATATTTTATTTTGTTTTGCGTTGATCTAACTTTGTAAAATGTTTATATACATAGAATGCTTGATATTTTTAGTGTAATATATTGTTGTAATACTCAATTATTACTCAACGATACAGTATTTTTTACTTCCAAACATTAAATACTTAAGACAATTATAGCATTTTATAACTATCAGTCATTTTATATTCATTTTGCTCATATATTCAAATGTCTTTTTAAAAAGATTTTATTAAAAATGTGTTTCCAATTTTCAAAACACTATCATATGAGGAGCTTTACCAAAAGAAATAATTTTAGAGCAATAAAAATCTGGCTATCAATATTCAATGTAGAAATCAAATTGAAAACAATTAAATTATGCTAACCTGCTTTTGAACTTTTTCTGAATTTAACAGGTTTTCAGAAATAAGACAAGTCGTGTAAAACTTCAATTTTGGTGCAATTCCCTAGAACAGAGACAATAATTGAACATCAAGCTACTACTGCAGAGATAAAGGGTATCATAGAAGTAAATGTCACCTACTACAACAAACTATTCCTAATTTTAACAGTTTCCTTTGTTAATTTCAGCCTTTAATAAAGATAATTAGAAAAGACAGAACACCAATGGTAAATGTCAAGAAGATAACATTTGCATTTCTGACAATTCAATTACAGATGATTATATTGCTTTTGTACAACAATTAAGGTCTGGCATTTATTTCAACATAGTGCTTTGTCAAAAGCATTTTTAAAGATTTTTTCATGGCATGTTACATATCACTAATTAAAAGTCAAGTCATGCTGTTCAACCTTCACTCACATCACTTTCAGACTTCTTGATTATGTTCACTGGAGAAACCATAGCCTCTACAATTATGGTGTAACAATTTGTAAACAAGGAAGCTACATTCTTTTACAGTCGGCCCTTCATGGTTTTCAATCCACAGATTCAACAAATTATGGATACAATTTCACTATGCCATTGTACATAATGGGACTTGAGCATCCACAGATCTTGGTATTCACAAGGGATCCTACTTCTAATAGTTTCATGTAGATGGTGAACATCAGAAAAGGCAAAATGGAACCCAGAAGGTCTTCACAGACCAACAGCCAGGGGATCAAACATGAATCTCCCACCATTTTATTATCTTCTCCAGATAATAAAGGAGACACTGTAAAATACTGCCATCAACTTCTATTCCAGAAAATTGTTCCAGAGCAAACCTACAGCTGAGATTATGACAAGGTATTAAGAAATCCCACAAAATCAATGCCCTGCCCAGTTCCTGGTGTAGGATATTGACCAAAGTCACCAAAAGTTACCTGAATTCATACTTAAGTGGGTCTGGACCAGTATTTTCCAAACTCTGGTTTTTCAATTTAGACTTGGGCTCCCAGAATCCTAAGGCAAGTTAATGTCTTCTCACATATCATTGGTATGTTTCTTCAGGCAGGAGGAGAAGCCAAATGGCCCCGGTGAGTTTCCTTTCTATTTTTGAGAGTTTTGTTTTTGTTTTTATGGATGGCCACATGTCATTCCAGACATGTGGGCAGCCAACGGGCAAAGCCTATGTTTTCCCCAGTGTATGTGGATTTAAACCCCCTTTGGAGTGGGTTTCTGAAACCTGCTCCAAAGTGGGTTTAATGTATGTGTGGAACCAACCATAGTTTCTCAAACATGTGTTAAATCTTGTTACGTTGGAGTCATTCTTAGTTTCTATCAATGTTACTATCTCATTTATTTCACGGCTGTCAGCTACCTAGAGAGAATTACTTGCCAAGACAAGTATCTGCAAAAGCAATCAAGAGACCATCCATGAGCCTCCCAAGATGGACCATTTTAACTCCATACTTGCAAAAGTTTAGAGTCCCAATTAGTCTAAATCTCACCAGGTTTTGTGCCACCCACAAAAACAAGAGAAAGCATATCCATTTCTAAATAATGATCAGTCTATTCAACACAAAACACAAGGTCTAAAATAGGGATGGGGCATTCTTAGCCATTGGTCACACTGGCATGCCAGGCTCCCACACATTTGAAAAATGAAAACAAACATCCAGACATTTTTTGTCTCCCAAACAGCAGTAGATTTGCCTCCTCAACCTTAGTCAGCCCTACGTGTCTTGAACCCCACTCAGAAGCAACAAAAATGATGAAACTCTGGTAACAGAAACAGGTGAGCAATGTATCTTCTGTTTTTTAAAGGTTTCTGGTGAGGTTTCAATTTGTGTGTGTGGAATTTACATTTCTTGTGTTTTGGCTGAATTTTTGAGCTGTTTTAGTACTAAAAACCTATTTTGGGGAGATCTGGGGTTCAGAGGCTGCAATTTGGGATTCAAGGGACACATGCAGCCCAAGAGTGGCACTTTCCATCCCTTGTCTAGAATTGCCTCTATAGAAGGACAAGCTCTGTTTCTTTTAAAAAAAAATTAGCTTGGCTTCTAACATATAGCTACTATATATAGAATCTGGCTCACTATTATCAGCCCTGATTTCTTATAGTCATCCAACATCTCAGGTAAAAGTCTTTAAAAAAAAAAACCTAACAAAAAACCCGAAGGCCTGCTGCCAGCCAACATGACTCTGAGACCTCCCGCAGAAAGAACATATGTTCTCCCACTAAGCTGCTATGGTTCTTCCACTTGTTTGTAGTACATTGTGGCATAAATCAAAGCAGAAATAAGAATTCCAAAGCAGCTCCATTATCTAAGTGGCTTAGCAGCCAAGCACCAAATCAATTAATTTTAAAAAGCATGAGGAAACTTAACCCCAATGAGACAAAAGATCTGAACCTGGTTCAACAGAAAAACTAAACTAAAAACTTCTCTTTAACACAAAAGCTGGATTGCAGAATCATATGACCATGTGTATATTGTATTACACAATTCACATACTTCATATTTCAGCACTTTTATCAAAATTCTATAAAGTTCAATCTTGGATTATTATTTATAATTTGAAGTATTGATTTCATCAATTAAAAACAATAGCTTGGAGCATGAAGTATCACAGTAGCTATTCGTAGCAACCACATGTTTACAAGAGTACTGTGCAAAAGTTCACATACTGTGAAACTGCAGGTCTTCCTCATTAAAACCTCACGAACGAAACCTTGCTGGCCACGATTACGCTTAGGAGCAGGGAAAAGGAAATCTCTTGTATTTTCTTCATAGGCAGCTACAATTTCTCCCACTGAAAATATATTAAACATGTTTTACGTTTTACATAAAAATCCCTAAACAGTATGTATACACACAGAACACAATTCTACAATACTAAGTAATCCAAAAACATCACTGATGTCAGCTAAAAATAAAAACAAATATCAATTTTTTCAGTGAAATCTGTATTACTTAACCAATGTTGCATGCAGGATCCTTTCTTATTTAGCCTACAAAGCGGTATTCTATATAACTAGAAAAATCTGCCGGAGGAATGTGGCAGAAATAATATACTAAAAGATCTTTATTCCTAAAACAGATCTAATATTAATTCCTGGCTTTTTGGGTGTTATAGATTTAATCAGGGGCCTTAATGCCAATGAGTAGACCTATTTAATCAACTGCAGAATGGTAAATCAACACTTAGTAAATCCCATTGATTCTGGGAGGCCCAGGAGTCGAAAGGCCAGGAGGGCCTTTGCACAATTAAAACTTGTGTGCCAATTGCTCCTGTTCCTTGAGAAGCCAAATCTGGCCATGGTGATACATGCCCTAGTTACATCCTGTCTGGATTACTGTAATGTGACCCCTTCCCTGGTGTCCTTCCAGCAGCAGACTAAAACCTTTTTATTCAAACCGGCTTTTAAAGAAGATGGTTTTTAAGATCAAGTCAGGGGGTGTTGTGGTTTTGAACTTTGAATAAGTTTTAAGGGTTTTTAACTGAGAACCTTTAAATACTTTTTATAATTAAGCCTATTTTAGTGTTTGCATATTGGTATATTTTAAATTGTATCCCAATGTTTTTAGGTTGAGCCACTTTGAGCCCCCTTCAAAGGAGATAAAGCAGGGTATAAACAATAAATAAATAAATAAATCTATGGCTCTACTTTAGTTGGAATGGGCAACAGAATCCAAGCCAGAAATGTACTGTTATTTGAATTCCTAAGAAGTGTGCATGCTGAAGAAAGAGGAAAGCTAGTAAATATAATTAAGACAATTAGAAGCAAAAGCTCATTCAATATAATTGATTACTAGCACTGTCTGTTCTTGTAAAATATTTTTAATGTAAGAAAGTATCAAATAAGAGATTAATTCCAGCATAATTAGATAATAGACAATAGCTACATCATAGGATGTTTCCTGATTTATAGCAAATTTAGTTGTATTTCTGTTTTATCTATCTTTCAGTAACAAAATAGGCTCTCGATAATTTAAAATTCAACCCAAAATCCCAAAGAATTCAATTTAAAGCAATAATTCAATTAAAAAGGCAAATAAAAGCAACTACTTGCAGCAATTCCTAACACTGGAACCATAGTTGGTCAAAGCTAAGTTGATATGTTTGCAGGCATGAGACAGTAAACAGGGGTGGGAATCACGTTTTTTCTCCAGGTACATGCTAAGGACTGTTGGGATCAATAAAGGAAGATCAAAATCAATGGCATAGCTACCATTGGTCTGGTAAAGGCACTGTCCTTCAGTTGGCAGCAAATGGAGGTTGACAGTTGCCCCTTATTCTGTATTCAGAGAGACAGTGATGTGTTCATAAACACTGCAGTGATATAGCGACATCATCGCTCTCGGGGTAAAAGAAGCATATGTCTTCAATCAGGAAAGAGGATATCGTCCATCTCCCTTAGGTTCAGGCTCTATTTACTGTAAATTCATGATGCCGAGTCTGAACATTTACCCCTGGATCCCCAGTCACTAAATTATACTCCTGGTCAAAAGACTGGGATTAATAGCACATTTCTCTTTCATGTGCATATTGCAAATATATATTGTAATCTTTTTGCAAAACAAAAAATCCACGAGCTTCATAAAAACCATTTGCTGCAATGCTATCATATTTGTAAATAGAGAAACAAAGATTTCTCTTCAGAATTTTATCTTATTGTTACACCATTTAATAAGATATGAATACAATACCTGGAGGAACAATCTGTATTAATTCAAGCACCGCTGTGTCAACTAAAATAAAAGGAGGTAATATAGTTAAAAGTCATTTTGATTTACAAATGAGAAACTTTTCTCCAATTTAATTCTCTCCTACATAAACACAAACTGTTTGTACAATGATCAGAAGTCAGAGAAAGAGAGCAGTGGGCACAAAGAGAGGTGAGGGTGGAAGAACATATCCTTGTTTTTTGTTTTTGTTAGAGGCTTTGCCGCAGAGGCATTTGCTGCTCAGACAAGTGAGAAACCTTTAGAGATTTTCATAAATTACATAATCCAGATACAAATTGTACTACAATAATTTGTTCTTGTTTATGCTGACATGACATTTTGAGAGTTTTTCCCTGGAGGGCTGACAGGAAGAAAACCTTTTCTGTTAGTCCTGACAGCTGCTATCTAGGCAGGACTGAACAAAACACCAGATCACAATGTCCAGAAGACTCTGAAGGAACATCTGAAGCATTCAAAGGATCAAGTAAGGTTAGTAGCTGGGAATGCAATCTGATGTTTGATTGAAGAAAAAGGCACTTCTGTTGTTGTAGGTTTGTGAAAATGTGGAAGTAAAACAACGCTTGACAACTAAGGGAGATTAAAATTCTTCAGCCTTTCAAATGTAATGCATTTTGACCACTGAATTGAGGTTTATTATAGATATCTGAATAATATAACAGACAGTTGTTGTTTTTTTCTTTCCTTCTTTCTTTCACACTGTGGACCATTATCAACCCTATATCGTAAGTCTTTGCTAACTTCTACATAAGTAATAGCTAAGGAATTCCCAGCACTCTCTCTTAGATCTTACTTTTAAATTGTTATCCTAAAAATCAATCTTAGCAAAAAAATTTACTTAGTCTTATATCCTATTTACTGGCCATAACTCCAAGTGAAGTAGACTGCTGTGCAGTGGTTGAGTGCTGTTCTAGGATTTTGGGAGATCAAGGTTCATGCTCCTGTTCAGTTATGGAAGGCCACTTGAACAAGTCACACTCCCTCAACTCAGAGGAAAGCAATGACAAACCCCTTTTGCCAAGAAACTTAGTAATATTAATGGCAGCCATAAGACAGAAATAAAATGAAACACAAGAACAAGACATGCATAGGCCTGAATTATTAGGCATTTTCATTCATGTACATCCTAATTTTTGTTCAACAAAGAACTCAATGAAAGCCATATGGGAATCACAGGCAGTCTCTAATCCAGGCACTGATTAGATAAAGATTTGCTGAACTTCAGCAAGTTTGCTGTTTCATGTGCTTTCAACTTGACAAGAAATAATAAAAATACGTATAGTAACTTTATTCTTGTTTCCCGCCACCATCTCCCCAAAGGGACTCAGGCGGCTTACACATGGCACAAGTACCTGAAAACAAAACATGAAATAAAACACAATATAAAATACATTTTTATATTCCTTAACAAAACATACAGGTATATAAAACAACAACTTAAAACTCAATTAAAACATATGTCTGAATTTGATTTTTTTTTGTTAGCTTCCCTCCTTGCTTTATTTTATCACATTTCAGTTGCTTCTTCTGCTACATCTCAAAACAGTTAGGAAATTTTCATGTGTAGCAGTGGAGGGACTTAGCTTATCTATTTTAAGACAGATTTCTGCAGATTTGAACACAAAAAGACATTAACTGGATGTCACAATTACAATTCCATTACTTACTTACTTACGCGATCCCTCGTTGTCCAAGTAAGATAGTCCTCCAAGTACGGTGTCCTGGTGGTGGGTATGCAGATGACTGTGGAGCCCTATTCTTGACATGCATGTTCTCCTGCAGTGAGGACATTGGTTTCCAGGTGGAAGGCGTTCCCGGTCGGGGTTGGCTTGATGTGCCTTCCTCTTGGCACGTTTCTCCCTTTCACCCTCCATTCGTGCCTCTTCAAATTTCACAGCACTACTGCTCTAGCTAACCTCCAGTTAGAGCACTCAAGGGCCGGGGCTTCCCAGTTCTCTGTGTTTATGCCACAGATTTTAGGGTTGGCATTGAGCCCATCTTTAGATCTCTCTTCCTGACCCCCAATATTCCGTTTTCCATTCTTGAGTTGGGAGTAGAGTAACTGCTTTGGGAGACAGTGTTTGGGAATTCGGACAACGTGGTCAGTCCTGAGGAGTTGATGGCGTAGGTGCATCGCTTCAATGCTAGTGGTCTTTGCTTCTTCCAGCACACTGACATTTGTCCTCCTGTCTTCCCAAGAGATTTGCAGGGTTTTTCAGAGGCAACGCTAATTGAATCTATCCAGGAGTTGAGTGTGACATGTTTCACAGGCATATAACAGGATTGGGAGGACAATTGCTTGGTCTCTCTACAGATGTCCCGATCCTCAAACCACTCTCTGCTACATTCAGAAAAACACTGCACTCGCAGAGCTCAGGTGTTGTATTTCAGTGTCAATGTTGATTTTTCCAAGGTAACGGAAATTGTCAACATTTATTATTATTATTATATTATTATAACTTTATTTGTACCCCGCTAGCATCTCCCAAAGGACTCGATGCGGCTTACACAGTTGCACCATTAAGCTGTATTTCTGGCATTGCAGAGGGATTGGCTGGTGCCTGTTGGAAGAGCACATTGTTTTTTTCAATGTTCAATGAGAGGCCAACCTTCTAGTATGCTTCTGCAAAGGTTTTAGAGTGACCTTTAAGTCTTCTGAATGTTACATTATCATTGGCATATTGGAGTTCTATAACAGATGTTGTTGTGACCTTGGTTTTGGATTTCAGTCTGCTAATGTTAAACAGCTTACCATCTGTCCAATAGATGATTTCACCTTCTCGGTGGTGGCCCCCCGGCTTTGGAACTCCCTCCCTGCTGAAGTTAGACAGGCGCCCTCCCTTATGGCCTTTCGTAGGGGCCTGAAAACATGGCTCTTCGAGATGGCCTTCAACTGAGTGCTATGTTATTGGAAATGACGACCGGAATGGACTACGACTATGAGATTGATTATGACCCCATGATACGACGAAGCGGATTTTTAGTATAAGTAGTTGTTATGTAGTAGTAGAATGTTGTTACTGTCTTGATCTATTGTAAACCGTCTTTTTTATGTTGTTGTACACCGCCACGAGTCGCCCTAGGGCTGAGAGTGGCGGTTAATAAGTGCAAGAAATAAATAAATAAATAAATAAATACTCCAGTAGGAAGCTTCCCATCAACAAGATGAAGTATCATAGCAATGAAGATAAAAAATAAGGTTGAGGCAATACCACATCCCTGTTTGACACCTGATTCCACTTTAAATGGGTCACTCTGGGAGCCACTGCTGTCCATAACTGTTGCCATCATGTCATCATGGAAGAGTCACAGGATGTTCACAAATTTGTTGGAATACCCGATTTTTTGGAGGATGGTCCAGAGAGCACTGTGATTCACTGTGTCCAATGCTTCCGCAAGGTCAATAAATGACATGTACAGAGGTTGATTTTGTTCCCTGCATTTTTCTTGGAGCTGTCATGCAGTGAAGATCATGTCCACTGTTCCTCTGGAGGGGTGGAAGCAGATCTGGGATTTTGGGAGGGCTTCTTCTGAGACAGGTAGAAAGTGGTTTGCAAGGATTCTTGTGAGGATTTTCCCAGCTGAGGTTAGAAGGGAGATACCTCGATAGTTTCTGCAGTCTGTTCTTTTCCCTTTTTGAAAAGCATGATGGTATCCTTGAAGTCTGCTAGAATTTTCTCAGTCACCCACACTTTTTCTGTGAGCTGGTGTAGTTGTTGTGTCAGATCAGGTTCTCCCTCTTTAAAGATTTCAGCAGGGATCCCATCAGGTCCGCTGGCTTTGTTATATATATTTTTTGTTGGCTGATGGCATTGCTTCAAAACTAGGCAGTGCTGCAAGCTCATCCCTGGTTTGTTGTTGCGGGATTTGTGAGAGAACCTCTTCAGCCACATTGGAGCTGTGATTCAGGAGGTTTTGGTAGTGCTCTTTCCAATGTGGTGCAATTGATTTTTTGTCCTTCAGAAGTTTGGTTCTATCTAATGAACATAGAGGGTGTGCGCCATGGTTTCTTGGTCTGTAAATTACCTTTGTGGCTTTAAAAAATCCCTGAGCTTCATGGGTATCTACAAAGTGTGGGATTTCTTCAACCTTCTTTGTTCACCAGATGTTATAAAGTTCTCTGGTCCTTCTTTGGATCTCAGTTATTGCATTAGCACAGATAGTGTCTCTCTGCCATGTTTGGAAGGCTTTCCTTTTCTTGTCAATTAACAGTTGGATCTCTTTGTCATTTTCCTCAAACCAGTCTTGGTGTTTCTTAGTTTGATATCCAATGGTTTCTTTGAAGGCTGTGATGATGGAGGTCTTCAGTTTGTTCCAATGTTCCTCAACATTTTTGGGGTGTTCTGTGTGTAGATAATCTTTGAGTGTTGTTTGGAGAAGGGCTCATTGGGAGAGCTCCTGAAGGGCTTGGGTGTTCATTTTGCGCCTTATCTTTCTTCCTTGGAGTCTGCATTTGGGGGCGGTCTTTATAGCCATTGTGGATCGGATTAGCCTGTGGTCTGTCTAGCAGTCATCAGCACCTGTCATGGCTCTTGTGAGAAACATGTTGTGGTAGTCTCTGGCACGTGTAATTACATAGTGAAAGAGGTACTTCCATGAGGTCTTCAGCTTGATTTTCTGGCAAAAGAGCATGTTGGTGATGACAAGTTTGTGTTCTGCACATTTGGTGAGAAGCAGGATGCCATTTGAGTTGCTGTTTCCAACCCCGTCTTTTCCTATGGTCCCTGGCCACAGGTCAAAGTCTTGTCTGACTCTTGCAATAAGTTCCCCAGGAGGATGATTTTTTCCTCCTTAGGTATCTCCGATAGGATGGTATCCAGCTGACAGTAAAAATTTTCCTTGATGTCTTCATCAGCATCTAGTGTTGGTGCATAGGTGATGGTTATGATGGTTGCCTGTTGGTTTTTGGCAACGTTCATTCAGATCTGGAGAACGAGCCCTATGAGGAGCAGCTTAAGGACCTGGGCATGTTTAGCCTGAAGAAGAGAAGGATGAGAGGAGATATGATAGCCATGTATAAATATGTGAGAGGAAGCCACAGGGAGGAGGGAGCAAGCTTGTTTTCTGCTTCCTTGGAGACTAGGACGCGAAACAATGGCTTCAAACTACAAGAAAGGAGATTCCATCTGAACATGAGGAAGAACTTCCTGACTGTGAGAGCTGTTCAGCAGTGGAACTCTCTGCCCCAGAGTGTGGTGGAGGCTCCTTCTTTGGAAGCTTTTAAACAGAGGCTGGATGGCCATCTGTCAGGGGTGATTTGAATGCAATATTCCTGCTTTTTGGCAGGGGGTTGGACTGGATGGCACATGAGGTCTCTTCCAACTCTTTGATTCTATGAGAGGGTTGAATGTCGTTCATTAATGCCAATGGGTGCTTCGGTCAGGTGCTTCACCATGTCATTTCTGATAGCAAAGCCAACTCTGTGTATTCTTCATTCTTCTTCAGGCAGTCCCTTCCAGAAGAAGGTGTAGCCTCCTTTTTCTTCCTTCAGCTGTCCCTCTCCTGCTCTCCAGGTCTGCTGAAGTGCTGCTATGTCGATGCTAAAGCATCCCAGCTCCCTTGCAATAACAGTCTCTCACCATGACAAAGTGACAATCCATTATTGAAATAGTTGGATCATATATTCTCTAAAAATACATAGTAATCCAAAAACAGATTAATTCTGCATGTTTTCATTAAAAACCTTTGCAAGATCTTCCTATTAAGAAACACACACTAATCTCAACTTAGATCTCCCCCTTTGTTTTGACATAATTCAATTTGAATTAAATTATCTGAGAAAGCCAGTAACTTCACTGCATATTAACTATGGTTTGATTTATTTATTTATTTATTTATTTATTAAGAAAGATAAAGTCATATTTTAATTTCTTGCAAAATCTCCAATTGAGTTTTCATATCATACATTTTAAAGTAACTTGGTATGCAGAACATAACACAGAAAAAGTAAAAGAAAAAATACCTACATTCCAAATGTGCAACAAGACCTGCTGGATCTACTACATTGGTATATACCTAAAATAAACATTAAAGAAAAGGAAACAGAATCATTTGGCTGAGAAGCACAGGAAAACAGAAAAAAATTCTCTTAAGGACCAAGCAGAAAAAAAGAAAGGATCCTTTACTTTAATCTTTTGATCCTTTCCACATTATTCTACCATCTTAAATTTAGAAGAAACACAAGCAATAAAAAATGCAAGTCTGTGATACACTTCATAAGATTACCGTATATTCCGGCATATAAGACGACTGGGCGTATAAGACGACCCCCAACTTTTCCAGTTAAAATATAGTTAAGATGACTCCCACGCATAAGACTACACCCGCGTGTAAGACGACCCCTGACTTTTGAGAAGATTTTCTTGGGTTAAAAAGTAGTCTTATATGCCAGAATATACTGTACATTAATCCTGGCAACTCTTACAAAATAGTAACATTTGGTTACATATTGGTTACATTCAGTCACTTATGTAAACGAATGAAAGCGCATCAACTCATTTTCAAAGTAGATCAAATATTTTTACAGCCAACCAACAAGAATATCATCAGAAATAAGGTGACTAATTTCAGAGGTACTTTATAACATATAAATGAGTATAGGATTATGGTCACTCAATCTCATTTTATACGTATCTGGGAATAAATTTGAATAAACTCATCAGGGCTTATTTCTCAGTATAAATGTATATAACATTGTAAAGATAAGGTCTGATTCTGAGCAGCATTGCTCAAAATTATTATGCTAGACAGACTAAAAAGATCGATTCTTGGGTTTAACATCATTAACTGAGATCCTGAGACATCACTGAGATCCTCAGTGATGTCTCACTGTGAGACAGTGAGACATCACATCCCATCGAAACTTCCTGTGCACCAACTGAAGCAATACAATGAACAGGCAGTGAGAAGACTCACATTTGGATTTGCATATGCATATGGGCTTAGTTGTATTTTAATATTTTAATAATTTAATTGATATTTATAATTTTGTTGTTTATCTAATATTAATCAGTTTTTACTGTCATTGTTTGTTGCTGTTGGCATCTAATGTTTGCTGGTTGTAAACCGCCCGGGGGGGGGGGGGGGGTTGAGAAGGGTGGGATATAAATGTTTGAAATAAATAAATAAATACATCATTCTATCCTTGGGCCAACTACACTCTCCAATACAAAGAAAAACATGTAGTCAACAACACATGTGCAGTTCCCAGAAGGGTAGGCTTCCCTGATGACTTCAAAACTGAAGATACCTTTGCAACCCGAAAGACAGTTGCATCTGTCAAGTAGGAAAATAAGGCACCACCTTGTGTGGGAGGCTAAATTTAACTAATTTATGAGGCCATAAAGAAAAAAGACTCCGGGGAATGTGGAATGCGGAAGAACTTCATCTTCGGTGTCGCTGATGGACGATGAAAAGCAGCAGCTCCCCTGGCGGCCAGAAAAAAGTTAAATAGCCTTGGTGTATTTGTGTGTTAAATGTTGTTTGTCAAAACTGGCATTGAATGTTTGCCATATATGTGTTGACTGTAATCCGCCCTGAGTCCCCTGCGGGGTGAGAAGGGCGGAATATAAGAACTGTAAATAATAATAAATAATAATAATAAATAATATCAGATAACACAAGGAAATCTACAGAGTGCTGACTACCGCATTTAAGCCAAAGGAGACATACTTGTTCACTCAAGACATATCTGCCATATCATTCCCATCCAACAACAAGCCCAGGGATCAGATTGCCAGTTTCTCCCTTTGCAGTTCTGTTCTTTAAATCCCACTTTAGCTAATAGACATGAAAGCTGATGAGAGGAGAGGGTTCATCATGCGAGCACTGAAGAGTTACTGTAATACTGGGTGCAAGGCTATGCTTTTTGATGTCTTCACAGAAAGGCAGTAAGACCCCATAACTGCAGAATCCAGTTTAATCTACTGGTGCCTGGAAAAAATGGATTCTCTAGGTATTTGTTAGTTCCTCCAGGCAATTATGTGGCATACTTCTCAATGAACACAGAACTATGTTGGGGGATTTAACAAATTCCACAAGAGGATATAAATTTAGCAATCTCTAGGTCTGCCCATTTAAATGTTAAATAGGTTCAGAATTTTGGCTATAGTATAGAATTGGAAAAATGGAGGAAATGTTGCAGAGAGATTTTAAAATAACATTATCAAATAATCTTAAAGAGAATGTCTATAAATGATGTTTAGATGGTGTGACGGCGCGTGTGGTGCCTCATATATTTAGAACTGTTAGTTGCAGGATTTTAAACTGCCATTTTATTTCTGTCTACCTTGTACATGTATAGTTAAATTTCATTGGTTATTATAGCTGTCAATTTATTGTTGTTGTGCACCAATTGGCTTGTTTCCCCAGTTCTGTTGTTTAGGCTCCGCCCCTTCCAAAGGAGAAAGGGAAGGTTTCTCCCTCACCTTTTTTACCTCAGAAAAAGACTCATTGGATGGACGTGTCCAAAAGCTTGGCCCAATGCCCCTGGTCAAGGCATTTTTTACTACCAGTTCTTAGGTTTATTACCCCTGAGTCTTATTCTTTACGTTCAGACCACCCTGAATAGAATTGTGAAGACCTCAGGCGCCTTCATTCCAGTTTTTTGGCACCATAGGAAGGTCTTGTCCTTCAATTTAGGCCACTGAACTGGGGTTGTAGTTTGCTCCGGCATCCATAGCCATTGAGAGAGAGGGAACAGGAAAAGCTTTTCAGCTTATTACTCCTAGGACCCTGGGCTTTAGAGTTTATAAAGTGTTTTTCCCTGTTGAAACATAAAGTTTGTGCCTAAGAAAGAAAACTAATTATCATCAATAAACACCATTTCGAGTCACTTGTTGTGTTCTGGTCCTTGGGAGTTCCAGTTTCCCTAAAGGAGGGCAAGAAGCAATCCCCTGGGGAAAGCAGTCACGTCCATGCCTTTCTCTATAGCCCCAGGTGCGACGGCAGAATTTTGGCTATAGTATAGAATTGGAAAAATGGAGGAAATGTTGCAGAGAGATTTTAAAATAACATTATCAACTAATCTTAAAGAGAATGTCTATAAATGATGTTTAGATGGCATTTAACACCACAAGAAATATCAAAAACATATAAAGGGCAAATTAAAAGTGTTGGAAGTGTGAAGTCCATGAAGAGTATTATTACCATATGTAATGGACCTGTAAAAGGCCAAGAAATTCTGGAAGCAAATTCATGGATAAATCCAATAAACTCTTAAAACAAGCATCAACTTCAAGCCAGAACAGGAGATAATACTGCAGTACATGTTAACATATTGGAGCCCCGGCTGGCACAGTGGGTTAAAGCGCTGAGCAGTTGAACTTGCTGACCGAAAGGTCGAAAGATCAAATCTGGGGAGCACTCCCGCTATTAGGTTCAACTTCTGCCAACCTAACAGTTCAAAAACATGCAAATGTGAGTAGATCAATAGGTATTGCTCCAACAGGAAGGTAACAGCGCTCCATGCAGTCATGCCAGCCACATGATCTTGGAGAGCACAACGCTGGTTCTTTAGCTTAGAAATGGAGATGAGTACCAACCTCCAGAGTCGGACAAGACTGGACTTAACGTCAGGGGAAAACCTCTCCCTTTCCCTACATGTTAACAGCAGCGAGAATTTTATATGCTAAAAAGTGGAAAATGAGAGGGATACCAACTGTAAGATTGGACAGTAGAGATATGGGAAATAATAGAAATTGACACATTAACAATGCTGTTGAAGGATAAGTCATTGGACACATTCTCAGAATATACATATATATATATACTGATTGGAGGGGGAAACTTTATGTAGAGGTTTAAAGACTAGGGCTGGGTAACCACGGAAAAATTTGTTTCTAAACTTGATTCGTTTTTAGGGTTTTTTTGCGTTTCGTTTTTTAAAAGAATTCCGAAATTTTTCTTTAAAAAAGTTCGAAATATACGAAATTTCGTAAATTACGAAACAATTACGAATCGATTCGCTAATGGTGGACGCAATTGCGCAATATGCAAAAAAACCCCTCCAAATGGGACAGGGGGAACTTCTGAAGCTTCCCTCTCCTCTGTTGTTGACTGTTGGTGTGATAATTTATTTTTTATCACTGATAAAACAAACAACAACCCTAAAACTTGCACCAGACATACGGAAATAATAACGAAACAATTTCGAAACGATTTCGAAACGATTTCGAACTGATTACGAAACAATTACGAAATAAATTGAAAAATTCGTTTCGATTTTTAGTTGCTCCTGCATGGCTCAATATCGGATCGTAAGCTAATTTAAATACGAATCAATAACGAATTACGAAATTAACGAACGAAACCGCCCAGCCCTATTAAAGACATAAAATGTTGGGATATTCACTTGCAAATGTTAAAATAAACAGAAGTAAACAATTTGCTGGATATAATGTGGAAGAATAAATGTTAAATTTATAGAGAAATCAGATAAAAGAAAAGGTGGAAATCCACTTTTCTGTATTTGTTGGTACATAGTTTTAGAGTTATAGGTAGAAATGTATGTTCGACAAGCAATCACCTAAGTTTTTCTATTATAAGTATTGTTTTTCCTTTTGTGTGTGCTTTTATAGTCAAATTTTTAATTTAAAATATTGGGGAAAAGGAATCTTTAGATCTGTCAATGAAACTCAATGGTATGCTGGGATTGGAAATGTGGTAATTTAATTATGCTTGATTGTGTCCATAGTTTCAAGTACATAAACACCTTCTCACTGGAAAGTATCCCCTGGAGACATGGAGCTATTACTGTATGTAGAGGACAAAAAAAACCCGTTTTTTATGCAGGATAGTTCGCCTACAGCACTATTTATTTTATTTTAATGTACTGTCTTTCTCCCTACACAGGATTAATGGGCAGAATTTCTCAGTTTGACCCATAAAGAAGTAGTAACATTTCTACAAGTATCTATATTTTCTAACAATTCCTTCTGCCATCATTTTACAATAAATAATATCCAAAGAAATTTATCAGAAACAAACAGGCCTAGACTGATTATATAAGAAGAAATATTCATTTTAATGGTTAACAAAATATTTATTAACTGATTGTGATAACAGTCTAACTCTAATTGTAATTCCTAGTAAAAAAAAACAACTTGTTGAATCAATGGAACTTAGGTAAGTGTGAAATTAGCCAAGTTTTCAGTGATTCAACTGTTTTATTTTAATCGGAACTAACAATTTGATTTAAGCCTGAAATTTTAAATCAATAGGTAATGATGCACTGTGATTGCAAGCTGTAATTCATTACACATGGTGCAAGTTGTTCAAAAAGTTAACCATTATACACTAGATGTTTACCTTTTCGAATATCAGTTTCTCATCAAATATAAGGGGAAATACTGCACGGACACATGAAGTCTTCTTATGTTGTCCAAAAATGGAGGCGCTGATGTAGACATCATCTTTGGCTTTCAGTGTAACACCTGGGCATGTTACCTAGAAGATCAATTGTTTTTCAAAATGGGTATAACTGGATGGGAGGTTACCAATGTAGGCTATATTTCAGATGAAGGAGCTGGAAAAACCACCTCTTTTCCATGCATAAGAAAACTCTGTGAAATTCATGGGGTTATCATGAGTCAACAGATGACTTAAATATATGTATGTGCGTACACAGAGAGAGGTATACTTTTCTATGACTTTGCTAGAAGGGAGGCAAGAAAAGATTTGATAAAGCTTTGTTGAATTATGATAATAAAATGAAAACATTAAAAGCAGATGATTCTGTCTGATCTTGGAAGCCAAGCAGGATCAGCCTGGTTAACACTTGGATGAGAGACTGCCAACAAATATCAGGTGATTGAAGCTATGGTATATTTCTGAGGAAGGAGCTGGCAAAACCACCTCTGAGTATTCCTTGCCCCTGTGGAAGTCATGGGGTCACCATGAAGGCTGGGTTTTCCCTATTCTTCCATCATGTCTCTGGCTTCAGTTGTCAGAGCAATGCATGCCAACTACAACATTGTGCTCTATGTGAGGCTACCCTTAAGGTGGCTATGGAAGCCACAATTCGGGGCCTACACTGGGAGCTTGTTTGCAGTCAGACTAGGCTTTACAAGTTCAACTGCCGGTTTACAAAGCCATGAACATCTTGGGGCCAGGATGGTTGACAGCACCCTTTCTCTGTCATGGACTTTCCTAGTCACTAAGGCACAGTCCTGGTTTTTCACTGTGTGCCTGCGATCTGTTTAGATCTTTTTGTTTATTAGGTACATCTCAGTGAAATTTCCTGACAGCTGAAGCAAGGCATGCATCATTTCCTTTGCTTTTAGAGCCTGCTGAAGACATTTTTATTTTAACAAGCATTCTTGAAATAAAATGAACAAATACAGTTTTACTTATGCAGTTCTTTGACATGTTAATTTTTGTATCATTTATCTATTTTTATCCTGATTTGCTATTATTGCTTTTCAGGTGTATCTAGGGAAGTTTACAATTACAGAAAATAAAGAACGCATATTCCTAAAGATCTAGTCTTATTCAATTTTAAAGAGAACTGGATTTTTATGGTATCAGACTTCATATACTATCATCCACTTCAAAAGATATGGTAAGTGTTGTATTAGCACATTATACATTATATATAAGTGGCAGTTTATACACAATTACGGAGAGTGGTGTGATAGCAAGATCAGAAATAAATAAAACACAAATAGGAGGCTATGCTTATGTTAAAAATACACTTATATTTAACTTTTAACTTTGAATCTGTTTGAATGGATTTTAACTGTGAACTTTTTAATACTGTTTACATTAAATTCTGTTTTAATGTTTGCATTATTGTATCATGTTGGTTGATGAAGATGCCTGCCATAGATGTGGACAACACTTCAGGAGAAAATGCATCTGGAACATGGCTATATAGCCCTTAAAATTCACAGCAACCCAATCGAGGTCATAGTTTGGGTAGTCTATCACCTACTTTTCCAAGTTTCAAGCTTTACTGCTCCTTGAAAAATGAAACTCACTCCCTCTGCCCTCTTCCCCCAAATTGTTCCTTTCCATTGATTTAGCACTTTGTAAGGATCCGCAAATTGAGATGAACTACTGGGTTGTTGTGAGTTTTCCAGGCTGAATGGCCATGATCCAGAAGCATTCTCTCCTGACATTTCACCTGCATCTATGGCCGGCATCCTCAGAGGTTGTGTGGTCTGTTGGAAACTAGGAAAATAGGATTTATGTATCTGTGGAATATTTAGGGTGGGAGAAAGAACTCTTGTCTGTTGGAGGTAGGTGTGAATGTTTCAATTGGCCACCTTGATTAGCATTTAATGCCCTAGCAGTTTCAAGGTCTGACTTCTTACTGCCTGGGGGAATTCTTTGTTGGGAGGTGATTAGCTGGCCCCGATTGTTTGTTGTTTTTTTGTCTGGACTTCATTATTAGTTTATAGGTTTTTTAAATACTGGTAGCCAGATTTGGTTCATTTTCATGGTTGTTTCCTTTCTGTAGTTCAACCGAAGAGCTGGACTACATTTGGAAACGCTGGTTGTAATTTTTCCGCTCTCTCCCAACTTCCTGTTCTAATAACCGTTAAATTCCCTTCTCTCTGCATCTCTTGCCAGGCAATGAGACATTAGCAGTTGCCTCCTCCCTCCACCTCTCTCTTTCTGCACCATTGCAGAATGTGGATGGGGAAAATTAACCTGAGAACCCAAATTGGTGAACTTATGTGGCTGAACTTCAGAAATATGATTATTTGGGGGGGGGGGGGGTCAACATCCCATACTGGAAGGATTCTGGGAGTTGTAGTCGCTCAAATAATAACTTCCCAAACTTTTGGCAGAGGGCACGAAAATCTTTTGTGTCTGCCCTTTCCAGCCCCTCCCCCCACCACACTTCCCAGCCCCGCGCGGGTTGGTTCTTCTCATTTCCTGTCACAACAAAAGAAAAACCGGCGCGTCCGCCTCCATCCTCTCCCTCCCCAGACAGTTGGTGGAGGTCCTTCCTTCCTTCTCACCGTGCGGATGTGGAGTTCCAGGGCGCAGACGAAGCCCTTTCGCGGCGGCATCGGAGTGTCCTGGGCCCTCTCCGTCCCGCCCCACCCGCCAGAAGCATCACAGGATGCGGCGCGCTGCTAGGCCCAGCCTGCGCCCGGCACTCTCCGTTGCCATGGCACCCAGAAGGCGGCCGGGGGCGGGGCCTGAACAGCGCCGGGGGCGGGGCTAACGGAATCCTCTTGTTTGAGAGCCAGAGGGGCTTCTGTGCAGTCCTATGGTTTTCAAACAAGCGTTCCAGTCTACCATTACTTCCGGTTCCCATTGGAACCCTTCCAAGCCAGCATGTAAGGCAAGCCTGGCATGTTTTGGGAGGATGTTGTAGAGATGTATAGAGAAGGCTCTCACTTAACCAGAAATCTCAAGCAACTTGCAAAAAAAAAAAAAATCGAAGAAAATACTTTAAATAAAAATTCTAATAAAATCAGTTTTTAAAATGCCAGTTTTTATCTTCTATATAAATAAAAATGTAATGTTCGTTTGTGGGATTAACAGAACTCAAAAACCACTGGACGAATTGACACCAAATTTGGACACAAGACACCTATCAGGCCAATGTATGTCCTTCACTCAAAAAATATGATTTTGTCATTTGGGAGTTGTAGTTGCTGGGATTTATAGTTCACCTACAATCAAAGAGCATTCTGAACCCCACCAATGATGGAATTGAACCAAACTTGGCACACAGAACTCCCGTGACCAACAGAAAATACTGGAAGGGTTTGGTGGGCAGTGTCCTTTGGTTTTGGAGTTGTAGTTCACCTACATCCAGAGATCACTGTGGACTCAAACAATGATGGATCTGGACCAAACTACATGAATACTCAATATGCCCAAATGTGAACACTGGTGGAGTTTGGGGAAAATAGAATCTTGACATTTGGGAGTTGTAGTTGCTGGGATTTATAGTTCACCTACAATCAAAGAGCATTCTGAACCCCGCCAATTATAGAATTGGGCCAAACCTCCCACACAGAACCCCCATGACCACCAGCAACGCGTGGCAGGGAACGGCTAGTATATAAATAAACATGTAATGTTCGTTTGTGGGATTAACATAACTCAAAAACCACTGGGCGAATTGACACCAAATTTGGACACAATACACCTATTAGGCCAACGAGTGACCATCACCCCTAAAAAACCAGCAGGATAGACTTTAATCCTCCCCCCGAAATAAACCATATATACATATACATTTGTATACATATACACAAGCACACATACATAAAGGCACACACATATATATACGCAAGCACTCACAAATATGCACATATACACACCTACACACATATACACATACATACATACATATATGCATATACACAAGCACACACATATACACAATATACATATACAAATATAAACACAGAAATATACATATACGCATGCACACATACATACAGACACACATATATGCAAGTACACACAAATATACACATACAGTATACACATACATATACACCTACACACATATAAACACAAATACACAAATATATACACATGTATACATACATATACATAAACTCATATACACAAATATATACATATATATACACACACACAACACACATTCACAGACTGGGCCACAGCAACACGTGGCAGGGGACGGCTAATATAGTAAAACTGTTGCATTGAGTTAAATTTAACTACATCCTATGGATTCCTGGTGTTTGTAGTATGCTGAGGAACTAGAGCAGGCCGGATAAACTTCGGCCCTCCAGGTGTTTTGAACTTCAACTCCCATAAACTGCTTTGTGAATTGTGGCTCATTATGCTGATAAAATAGGCTTAGGTGTTTTATAAAGGGCTTTGAATATAAGTATATCATCTCTGTTTCTGTCCTTGCCACTTCATTTTTCTATGCATTGTTCTTGTGAAACTGTTCTTTGACTGAATGTATTACAATTCTTTTTTTCCTCCCCATAAAAATAGTGTTCAGACTGGGTTAGAGTTATGTAAAAGCAGGTGAAAACAAATTAAAATAGATAGGAACGTATCATACAGATTTGACCAGATTAACCATTAAAATCACTACAGTAATCAAACAATTAAGACATTTTGAAGACCAGTTTGGAGGTGAAGAAATAATATCTGTTGAAGTTCTCACATTGACACACTGTTTCTACTTCATTACTATACATTAAAAGATTTTAGTCATTTTATTTATTTATTTATTTATTTATTTGACTTGTATACCGCTACTCCCAATTTGGCTCAGAGAAGCAGATTAAAACAATTACAGAAGCAGATTAAAACAATACAATTAGCTTTAAAAATAATAATAACAAAACAATAGGCGGCGAGGACAGACATAGTCCGGGTTGTTCACCCGTCAAAAGCTTGCTGGAAAAGAAAAGTTTTACAGGCTTTTCGAAAAACAAGTAGGTCTCAGATGGTTCGAGTTTCAACCGGCAAGGCATTCCATAAATAAGGGGCCACAATCGAGAAGGCTCTCTGCCTAGTAGATGACAAATGATAAGTCCGGATGTTAGGGACTGTAAGCAAATTTTGGTCTTCAGACCGGAGTAATCTCTGAGGTTGGTAGGGGGATAAGCTGGCCCTCAGGTATGCCGGCCCCAGACCATGTAAGGCCTTAAAGGTTAGTACCAGCACCTTGAAAGTGATCCGGTACTCAATGGGAAGCCAGTGCAGCTGTTGGAGGATTGGGGTGATACGACACCTCGCTGGCACTCCGGCGAGAAGCTGAGCCGCTGTATTTTGCACCAGCTTCAGTTTCCGGATCACTGACAAAGGAAGGCCAATGTAGAGGGTGTTCAGTAGTCAGGACTCGAGATGACCGTCGCCTGGATCACCATAGCCAGGTCGTTCCTAGATAGGTAGGGAGCCAGTCGCCTAGCCTGACGTAGATGGAAAAACGCAGATCTGCTCACAGCAGAGACCTGGGCCTCCATTGTGAGCAGAGGGTCCAATAAGACACCAAGACTTTTTACAGAAGGTGACGGACGTAGTGTCTCGCCATCCAGGGTAGGCAGCTGGATCTCCCTCCCACCCGGAAGGCCTAGCCAAAGGATCTCCATCTCTTCTACAAATAAAGTGTATTTATGCTCTTTTGAATTGCTAAATCATATCACTATTAAGAAATGCAGTACAGGGTGAGTATCTCTTATCTGAAATGCCTGGGAGCAAACATGTTTTGGATTTTGGAATACTTGTATTTGTTTACATAATGAGATATTATGAGACATTATGAAGATGAGACCCAACCCTAAACACAAAATTAAGTAATAATGCACCTTATACACATAGCCTAGGGGTAATTTTATACCACAAGGAATTCCCAACCTATTGCAGTGAAGACTTTGTGTCACTGTGATTATGTATTCCTCACTTATCAATATGTTATATATACTTTGCCCTGAAAATAATATCTATTGAACCAAATTAACCTTACTTTGAGGTAGTCATGGAAAGTACTGCACTATAAGAGAGTATATTTCACTACATCCAGCACAATGATATATTAATATTAGAAAAATGTATGTCTCCATTTTAGGTAAATGCAGCTGTAAAGCACAAAATTATTTCTGTTGGTTAGCTTCTGCATCTATTTGCTTACATTTTAATATTTCTTTGTAGGGTCTAATGCTGTCCAGTGGAAGAAAACAGATCCACAAGACTTGATGGACTGTTTGTCTCATCTGGGGTGGCATTTCATTTGTTCCTCCCTGATTAATTAATTACCGGATTAATAGTACATTTCACAGTAATGAAACTGCCATTTGTACAAATTTGTTGAGTCAAGGGAAGAAGCTCCAAAATGTTAAAATGAAACAATCCAACAAAAATTGCCAGAACGTTATAAGAAAAGAGATTACAACTGCATCTAGTGGGAGCAAAATGAATCACATTATCAAAGTGTAATGAAACAGGGAAGGTAGAATGATAGATAGATGAGATTAGAGGATAGGGATTACCTAAGAGCTTTAGAAGTATTCACAAACAGTGTTCCTGCATAATCTTTTTGCTTTCTGTACCAAAGGAAAGAGTTGGAGGAGCCTTAAAAGACACTGCTATTCTGTCCTGATATGTGACAGAGCATCTTTGTCTTCTGTAAAAATTATATACATTCTTTAACAGAATAAATACAAGTTCCCATATTCTTAAAATCAGTTATTTTATATTGTTGTACTGCCCTGATTCACTTCTGTATTGCACTGCATAGCTTAAGAATGTTGTGACTAGCAATCCATATAATTTTTTATAATTCTTGATGATGCTGATCCCAGCCAAGTTATCTTCAGATAGAAGTTGCATCTACACTGTAGAATGAATGCAGTTATATACCAAATTAGCTACCATGGTTCAGTGGCAGGAAATCATGGGAATTGCAGTTTTTAAGTGCCTTTGGCCTTCTCTACCAAAGAGTGCTGGTGCTTCTCCAAACACCAACTCCCAGGATTCCAAAGCACTGAGCCATGGCAGTTAAAGAGGTGTCACATTGCATCAATTCTACAGTGCTTATGCACCTAATGTTACTGACTAACACTGTAAATACAGAAGCTATAAATATATAACTCAGCATTTCTCAACCTGGGGGTCGGGACCCCTGGGGGGGTTGTGAGGGGGTGTCAAAGGGGTCACCAAAGACTATCAGAAAACACAGTATTTTCTGTTGGTTATGTGAGTTCTGTGTGGTAAGTTTGGCCCAATTCTATCGTTGGTGGGGTTCGGAATGCTCTTTGATTGTAAGTGAACTATAAATCCCAGCAACTACAATTCTTGAATGTCAAATCTATTTTCCCCAAACTCCACCAGTGTTCATATTTGGGCATATTGAGTATTCGTGCCAAGTTTGGTCCACATCCATCATTGTTTGAGTCCACAGTGTTCTCTGGATATAGGTGAACTACAACTCCCAAATTCAAGGTCAACGCTCCCATTATTTTCTGTTGGTCATGGGAGCTGGAGTTCTGTGTGCCAGGTTTGGTTAAGTTCCATCATTTGTGGAGTTCAGAATTCTCTTTGGTTGTAGATGAACAATAAATCCCAGCAACTGCAACTCTCAAATGACAAAATCAATCCCCCCCCCCCGGCCAACCCCACCAGTGCTCAAATTTGGGCACATCAGGTATTTGTGCCAAATTTGGT